GACAGGCAACTATGGTGACCTGCATGCAAGTCCAGTAAAGAAAAGGAGACTTTTTAAAAAACCTATTGGCTGCATCAGGTCTTAGTTGCAGCACGTAGGGTCTTCCTTGGGTCTACGGGGCCTTTTCCTCGCAGTGCATGGACTCTCTAGCTATGGTGCATGGGCTCGGGCGTTCTTCCTTGTGGACTAAGGTGCCCTGTGGCATACGGGATCTCAGTTCCTGACCAACGTTTGAACCCACTGACCCTGCATTGCAATGCAGATTCTTCACCACTGGGCCTCCACAGAAGTTGCAAGGAAACCCCTTTACGGAGCAGAGGGGGAGCTGGGCAGGGCTATTGGAGATTAAGTGTCCAGGGGGTAAACTGGGGTTTGGTGCTCAGTGGATCCCATTAGCCGAGCTGTGGCAGCCTGACATTGAGCTCTCACCAGGTAACGAGAGTCCCTCTTCCTCCTGTTGGCAGCAGTGGCATCATTCCGGCCTGAGGGGCAAGGCCCATCTCCTATGGACGCTGTATTGAGAGATACGTGCATGAGAGCTTCTGCTTCTGTCCTTTCAGCTCCATTTTAGCAAGGTTCCCTTTTACAGGGACACCGTCTTACTGCACATTGCCTTACTGAACATCAAAGATACTGCTTTTTTAAAACCTGAAGGTTGGTGCACCAAGCCTGCATCAAGCAAGTCTGTTAGCACCATTTTCCCAACAGCATTTTCTTACTTCACGTCTCTATGTCCCATTTTGGCAACTCTCACAATATTGAAAGAAAACTTTACACTATCATTGTATTTGTTATAGTGATCTGTGATCTTTGATTTTAATACAACTCACTGAAGGTTCAGATGACAGCATTTTTCGGTAATATTTTTAAAATTAAAGTATGGGTATGTGCATTTTTTTAGACGTTATTATTGCACACTTAATAACTGACCACAATATAGTGTAAACATAACTTTTATATGCTCTGGGAAACAAAAGAAAAAGGTGCGACTTTACTGCAATATTCACTTTATTGTGGTGGTCTGGCTATCTGCAATATCGGGACATTGCAATAAACTGCAATATATGTGAGGTATGCTTGTATCAATTTTCACATAGTGTAAATGATAATACATCATTGATTTCAAAGTCCACTTGTCCATTACTGGTATACAGGAAAGCAGCTGACTTTCACATGTTTACTTCGTACCCTGCAACCCTGATATAATCACTTATCAGTTTCAGGTTTGTTGTCTTTTGGATGTTTACATAGATGACCATGTCATTTGCAGAGACAGTTTGACTTCTTCCTTCCCAGTCTGCGTGTTTCATTTTTCTTGCTGCATGTGCTAGGACTTCTTGTGTGGCACTGAAGAGCAGCTGTGAGAAGCGACATTCTTGCCTTGCTCTTGATCTTGGCAAGAAAACTCTGATGATGGTATTAAGGATGATGGTATTTTTACATTTTTGGTAAACTTTTATCCAGTTGAGGACACTTTCCTCTATTCAGAGCTGCTAAGACATATCCAGTTATCAGTGTGGCTTTAAACTACTAGTTTTGTTAAAAAGCACTTTTGTGAATGCAACATAACATGACCTGTCATGAATGAACGAGGGAAAATCTGGGATTTGTTATCTGGCTGGATTTTAGCTGTGTATGCTAAGGCGCTTCTGTCGTATTGACTCTTAGCAACCCTATCGACTGTAGCCCACCAGGCTCCTCTGCCCGTGGGATTCTCCAGGCAAGAATACCGGAGTGAGTTGCTATGCACTCCTCCAGGGGATCTTCCCAACCCAGGAACTAAACCCACATTTCTTACATTTTCTGCATCAGTGTGTGGATTCCTTACCACTAGTGCCACCTGGGAAGCCTATGATTTTAGCAGAGGGTAATAATCTAGATAGTACCAAGGGAGGGGACCCTGGATATATTGACAAACAGCTACAAAATAACTTATCTGGAGATGTGGACACCAGAGACAAATATCTTTTGAAGGCAAGACTTTGAGACTAGCTGACACCACCTTAAAAACAATGAGAAAGACTTGAGAAATTCAAGGACTACTCAAGGCAGTGGGGGGTGGGGAGGTCTCCTCTAACAGTGCTGGGTAGTCAATAGACAATGACAGGCTCAAAGTCCTAAAGTTTTAAGACAAGGACTGAGAATCAGGAACTTTCTCTTACTTTGTAGAAGAATCTCTGAGTTTGCAACTGCCAAGACTGAATTAACGGAAAACCAAAGTTTTAGCTAGTTCACCAGCAAATCCTACCAACAGGTGAATTCACAACCTTACCAGATCTCTCATGGAAAAGTTGGAGCACTCATCAGTCCTGGGAATTGAATTGGGGTATTTGGACAATCCTGGGTACCTTATGCACCCTGAATATCCAACCTACCAAGGACCACCTTGAGAAATCAGTCCCTGACCTATCTAAAAACTCTCACCTGAGGCAGTTACTTCCAAGGTGAAGCCAGTTTCCTCCATTTCACCCCCATCTCACCTTGTCTCTACTGATACGTAAGAGTGAGATCTCAGTAGGACCCATGTGGTCAATCACCAAGTCAAAGTCAGAAGAGTTTGAGCGGCTTCCCTGGTGGCTCAGTGGTAGAGAATTTGCCTGCCAGTGCAGATGACACGGGTTTGATCCCTGATCTGGGAGGATACCACATAGCAAAGAGCAACTAAGTCAGCTTGATGCCACCTGCCACCAAAATGCACCATTTGCTGGCTTCGCACACCAGCTACATGAAACTAAGGCCGCAGCAGCACTCTAGGTTGGAGGGGCATGCTCCTGGCCTTCTGGGCTACAGGGGAAGACGCGGAATACCCGATGATACACGTCCACCGGGCGCTGAGATGCTCCTGGCCTTCCGGGCTTCAGGGGAAGGGGCGGAACACCCGATGATACACGTCCACCCAGCGCTGAGATGCTCCTGGCCTCCCAGGCTTCAGGGGAAGGGGCGAAACACCCACTGATACACGTCCACCGGGCGCTCTAGGTTGGAGGGGCATGCTCCTGGCCTCCCAGGCTTCAGGGGAAGGGGCGGAACACCCACTGATACACGTCCACCGGGCGCTCTAGGTTGGAGGGGCATGCTCCTGGTCTTCCAGGCTTCAGGGGAAGGAGTGGAACACCCGATGATACACGTCCACTGGGCGCTGAGATGCTCCTGCGGCTGCCACAGGGGGTCACACTCTCCTGACTGCAACATGTGCACAGTAATTCAGAAGCAACTAACTGCCAGGGGCAGAGTGGGTCAACAGAACCCAGGAATGAGGCTCTAGGTCAAGCAGGAAATTGTGCTGCATGATGGAATCACTTCCTAACATTTATAACCAAGGATACATATAAACACAGCTTCACAGCTATAAAGTGCTTTTTGTACTGCCTCAGCTGTGGCCCACAAATTTTAATGCACACCACTTCCATTATCTTCCAATCCTAAACAGTCTCTCACATCAACGAGGATTCTTTGACAGGTAATTTAGAAGTGTGTTTTAAAATTTCCAAATATGTAACAGTTACCTCTGGAATTTTAAAAATGTTTTATGGCCCAATAACACACTTTGTATGATGCTAAAGCTTTGAAATATGACTGGCTTTGTGGACTAGGTGATGGTCAGTTTTCACCACTGTCCCACGTGTGCTTGAGGTTTTTTTTTTTAATTTCTTTAAAAAAAATGTTGGCTGCACCCCGCAGCATCTGGAATCTTTAGTTTCCCAACTAGGGATTGAACCCGTACCTCTGCATTGGAACAGAGTCCATCACCAACTTGATGGACACGAGTTTGAGCAAGCTCCAGGAGTTGGTGATGGACAGGAAAGCCTGGTGTGCTGCAGTCCATGGGATCACCAAGAGTTGGCCGTGACGGACTGACTGGATGGAACAGAACCACTGGACCGCTGGGGAAATCCCACACGCTGTTCTCAGAGGAGTGGCCTCTGTGTGTCCATCAGACCAAGCTTATAAACGGTCTCATCTGAATCTTCCGTATCCATCTGATTTTGTCTACTTGATCATCAGTCCCTAGTACAGATGTTAAACATCTCCCACTTGGGTTTGTGAACTGACTTCTCCTTGAAGTTGTGTCAGCTTCTGTTAGACAGATCTGAAGCTGTTTCTGGTGCAAGGCTGTTTTACCTTCCAGGTGATCTGAACCCATTTCATTATTCAGTGACATCTTTTCTCTCTAGCAATACCTTTTAAATTCTAGTAACACATCATCATCTAATGATACAGTCATACCAGTTTTGTTTTGGTTACCATCTGTTTAACTGGAATTTAGTCTAAAGAATTTTACTAACACTCTTCCTGAATGCAATCCACATACCATACAATTCATCTGTGTGCGTTCACTGTGACGGCCTGTGGGCCTAGACTTACCTGTCTGTCACTGTGCACCTTCCATTCACCCCACGTAGTTCTCCAGGTTTTACCCCTTCTCTCCCGCCTCCCCCTAGACTGATACTATCCATCCAGTTCCATTATCTTTTCCCTCCTGCCCCAATAACAATGTTTCTATCTTTTAGTAGTTAGAATTTTTAATAACCATCTTCACCTTAAATTCTCTTTACTCACTTTACACATCAACTTGGTGTAACTCAGTTACAGTCAGCCTGGGGCCGCCCTGCCTTCTCCATTATCAAGCCCATCAACTCCACTCCAGCTCTGCTGCAGGAGCTGGTTTCCACCCTTTCCAAACGAGGCTGGGGCTAACACCGCAGTCACAGAGGCCATGCCCTTCCTGCTCCTGTGACAATGAGAGGAAGAGGTGGCCAGCAAAGCCCTCCCTAGATGCCCACTCCCTCCTCACAGCTCCCTGGTCCACTGCCCCACAACCTGCAGGGAGTCTCTGGCCTAATAAGAAGGGGCTGGAGCTGGATCACCCCCTTCCCCGGATCTGAAGGCTCCTCTGCACGTGGGGCCTGAGCCCGGGACAAGCCGGCAAGGGACACGTGGCAGAGTCCGCTTTCCGCCGGAGCCTGCCCCACCCGGGATGGGGTCGGGCAGCCCGGGCCTCAGGCCAGGCCGGCGCGCTCCAGGTCTTGGGGCAGGATGCGGCCCTTCTTGCGGGCCTTCTCCAGGCGCCGCTCGGCCCTGGCCACCTTCTTCTTGCGCAGGTTCTGCCGCCGCCGGTCCTGCCGCTGCTGCATCTTGCCCACCACGTGCGCCGTGCGCTTTTCCCAGGCGCGCAGGCGCTGTGCGCGCCGCCGCTCCTTGCGCTTCAGGGCCTCCTGCAGCAGGCGCTCGTTGTCGCGGATCCTCACGCCCTCGGCCTTGTACAGCAGGTTGGTCCAGCGCATCTTGGCCTCGAGCTCCTGGGCCTGCCCCGCGTCCCGGTCCCGCAGCTCCTCCAGCCGGGCCTGCCGCGCCTGCAGGCGCTCCAGCAGCTGCCGGTAGTTTCTGCCCGTCAGGGGCGTCAGGTTCCCCTTCAGCTTCTGCCTCTTCTCCTTCCGGCGCTGGGCCTTGCTGGCCGGCTCCTCCTCAGTCACCTCCACCTCGGGGGAGAGGGCGGCGCGAGCTGAGGGCTGCTCCCCGCCTGCCCCGGGGGCCCACTTCTGCCCGCCCAGCGGCAGCGCAGGGCACTCACCTTGTTGAAGAGCAGCCCCACCTGGGCCTGCGTCTCCGCCCTGGGTACCCGAGGGCCTGGCTCGGTGGCCTTTGCCGCCTCCAGTGCCGCGGCAGCCTTCTCCTTTGCTCTCAGCTCCCTCCGCTTCCTCTTTTTCCGGTCGCGCTCCTGCTTCCTCCGGCGTCTTTTCTCCAAAACGGCGGCAGACAGCTCCTTGATGCTACCCTGCAGGGCGATCCCGCGCTCACTCACAAAGTTCTGGAAACGGGGCCCCTAGCTTAGCACATGCAATCAGGTCAGGAGAAGGGCCGGCGAAGCGCGGCGTTCCACCGCAAGATGACCTGGCCCCAGAGTGCACCCGAAAGAAGGACGAGGGGACGCCGTGAGAACCACACCTTCCGGATTCCAGGCAGAGGCCACAAGCCAGGGCTCCTCCCCAGAAGGGGCCACTGAGTCTACCCAACGACCCGGCAAAGGGCACACCGCCCCCGTCTGGTCAGCCAGGCTCAGGCGCCCCACCAAGCGGGGAGGCTCGGTCAGGACGAGGCAGCGCTGCCTGTGCAGACCCCAGCGCTACTCTGAGCTCACCGGGCAGACGAGCGTCTGCAGGAAGGCAGGGCCCCCGGGCCTGTCCCCACACAGCGAGAGGCCGGGGGAGGTCCCCAGGGAAAGGAGGGGGTGGTGACCCCATTCAGCACTCATCACTGAGGCTGGTTCACATCCTGGAGGGTCGGTCGGTCGTGTGGCGGTCCCCTCGGGGAGGTCGCCTCATCTCAGGCCCTGGCTCACCTCAGGGGCCGTCAGGACAACAAGAACAAACGCCTAGGAAATGCTGCTGAGGGAGGAGCCTGAGCCCCTCAAAGACCACAGCAGAGAAGAGCCAGAAGCTCAACACGGGGGCTTAGCCTGCACCGCCCCCCCAGAGAATGGCACCTGACCTCCCGCAGAACAGAGCTGCCAAGGCCCTCCCGTCAGGCCCGTGATGGCCGGCAGAGCAGGGAGCCGACCTCGGAGCCCTGGGGTGGGGAAAGCCCTGCAGCACCGAGACCCCTGCCCACCCCCCACCTACCTGGCCCCGCGCCTCCTCAATCTTCTCGTGCAGGAGCTGCCGCAGAACATCCAAGGCGAATAACGAGTCAGGCTCTGTGGCCAGGCCATCTGCAAAGGAGGGTCAGAAATCCGAAAGGAGCGCCTCCGTGGGCGGCCGCCTCCTCCCCGCCAGTGGCCACCAGCGGACCTGCGCAGGTTCAGAGAGCTCTTCACCTCTTCACGCTGGACTGGCCTCCGGGGTAGGGCCCGCTCGTGTAGCACGGGCCAAACCCATCTCTGGGTGCCGCCAACTCCCGAGGCACCCAGTGTACCTAATCGTGTTGCTACGACCAGAGAGGGCCGCATTTGCACCTATCCCAGATCCCGGGGGGCCCTGCCTGCCTGCCTCCCTCACCCGCCGGGGCCCTGGTGGAGCGGGCGGCTTCCTCCTCCTCCTCCTCCTCGGCTGCCTCTGGCTTCCTGGCCTCAGACTTCTCCGCAGGGGCCTGGGCCTTGGGCTTTGCAGTCTTCTTCTCCCGCTCCGGGGATTTCTTCTGCGCTTTCTTCCTCTTCTTTCTGGGGGGTACAGCAGCTTCTGAGACTTGAGTTTTGCCAGCTGAAACAAGAAACGAGAAAGGGCTCCCACTTCAATCCTGTGACCCAGTGAGTAGGTAAGAAGGTCCTGCAAAGGTTTTGATTCCAGAAGGATGCCAAAAGCCAGTTGAGATGGGGGTTGTGGGGACCCTCATCCACTGAGCTCAGAACCACACAGCGCCTGGAAAGCAGACTGGTCACACTCATCAATCCCTGAAAAACACCCACACACTGACCCAACGGTCTACTTGTGAAATCATTCCTGGTGAGCAGATAGATCTGGCCTCAAAGATGTTCATCATAGTATCCTTTTTTGAGTGAAAAAGTAAAACCTAAATATCCACCCACAGGGACAATGATAGCACCTCCCACAACAAACTATGTAGCCATAAAAAATAACAACGTAAGCTTTCATTTTGGGCTTCCCAGGTGGTGCTAGTGGTAAAGAATCCACTTGCCAAAGAGATGCGGGTTCGATCCTTGTGCCAGCAAGATGCCCTGGAGTAGGAAATGCCAACCTACTCCAGTACTCTTGCCTGGAAAAATCCCATGGACAGGGGAGCCTGGCAGGCTATGGTACACGGGGCCCGCAGACTGGGACACAACTGAGCGACTGAACACACACACACACACACACACACACACGCACACGCACACGCACACGCACACACACACGCACGCATTCATATTAACAGGTGGAAAGGGAATTCCCTGACAGTCCAGGCAAAATGACTGTCTGAGGAGGCATTACAAACGGCTGAGAAAAGAAAAGAAGCAAAAGGCAAAAGAGATAAGGAAAGATATACCCACTTGAACGCAAAGTTCCAAAGCATAGCAAAGAAAGCGTTCCTAAGTGACCAATGCAGAGATAGAGGTAAACAATAGAATGGAAAAGACTAGAGACCTCTTCAAGAAAATTAAGAGACACCACGGGAACATTTCATGCAAAGGTGGGCATAATAAAGGACAGAAACATTATGGACCTAACAGAAGCAGAAAATATTAAGAAGTGGTGGCACGGATACACAGAAAAACTATACCAAAAAGATCTTTATGACCCAGATTATCATGAGTGTGTGATCACTCACCTAGACCCAGACATCCTGGAATGTGAAGTCAAGTGGGCCTTAGGAAGCATCACTATGAACAAAGCTAGTGGAGGTGATGGAATTCCAATTGAGCTATTTCAAATCCTAAAAGATGATGCTGTGAAAGTGCTGCACTCAATATGCCAGCAAATTTGGAAAACTCAGCAGTGGCTAGAGGACTGGAAAAAGTCAGTTTTCATTCCAATCCCAAAGAAAGGCAATGCCAAGGAATGTTCAAACTACCACACAATTGCACTCATCTCACCCACTAGCAAAGAAATGCTCAAAATTCTCCAAGTTAGGCTTCAACAGTACATAATAAGTTGACAAGTTTCAGATGTTCAAGTTGGTTTTAGAAAAGGCAGAGGAACCAGAGATCAAATTGCCAACATCAGCTGGATCACAGAGAAAGCAAGGTGATTTCCAGGTAAACACCTACATCTACTTCATGGACTACACTAAAGTCTCTTGACTGTGTGGATCACAAGAAACCGTGGAAAATTTTTAAAGAGATGGGAATACCAGATCACCTTACCTGCCTCCTGAGAAATCTGTATGTAGGTCAAGAAGCAACAGTTAGAAATGGACATGGATAAAAAAAAAAAAAAAAAAAAGAAAGAAACGGACATAGAAAAATGAACTGGTTCAAAATTGGGATACATCAAGGCTGTATATTGTCACTCTGCTTATTTAACTTCTATGCAGAGTACATCATGCAAAATGCTGGACTGGATGAAGCACAAGCTGGAATCAAGACTGCCGGCAAAAATATCAATAACCTCAGATATGCAGATGATGCCACCCTTATGGCAGAAAGCGAAGAGGAACTAAAGAGCTTCTTGATGAAAGTGAAAGAGGAGAGTGAAAAAGCTGGCTTAAAACTCAACATTCAAAAAATGAAGACTGTGGCTCCAGTCCCATCACTTTATGGCAAACAGATGGGGAAACAGTGACAGACTTTATTTTCTTGGGCTCCAAAATGACTGCAGCCATGAAATTAAAAGACACTCCTTGGAAGAAAAGTTATGACCAACCTAGACAACCTATTAAAAAGCAGAGACATCACTTTGCCAACAAAGGTCCATATAGTCAAAGCTATGGTTTTTCCAGTAGTCATGTATGGATGTGAGATTTGGACCATAAAGCACGCTGAGCACCAAAGAATTCACGTTTTTGAACTATGGTGTTGGAGAAGACTCCTGAGAGTCCCTTGGACTGTAAGGAGATCAAACCACTACATCCTGAAGGAAATCAGTCCTGAATATTCATTGGGAGGACTGATAATGAAGCTGAAGCTCCAATACTTTGGCCACCTGATGTGAAGAACTGACTCACTGAAAAAGACTCTGAGGCTGGTAAAGACTGAAGGCAGGAGGAGAAGGAGACAACAGAGGATGAGATGGTTGGATGGCATCACCAATTCGACGGACAGAAGTTTGAGTGAGCTCTTGGAGTTGGTGTCCCTTGGTCTGCAAGATCAAACCAGTCAATCCTAAAGGAAATCAACACCAAATATTCATTGGAAATCCTGATTCTGGGAAAGAGTGAAGGCAGGAGTAGGAGTCAGGATGAGATGGGAGGGCTGACAGATGATGGGATGGCTGGATGGCATCATGGACTTGTTGGACATGAGTTTGAGCAAACTCTGGGAGCTGGTGATGGACAGGGAAGCCTGGGGTGCCGCAGTCCATGGGGTGGAAAAGACTCAGACACGACTGACCTGAACTGAATCAGTGGTTAGGACTCCATACTCTCACTGCCAAGGGCCTGAGTTCAATGTGTGGTTGGGGAACTAAGATCCCATAAATTATGTGGCAAAGAAAAGGTGGAGAAAATGTTTACATTTTAAAAGGAAAATGAGAAATGAGTGCACCAAGCAGGGACCTAGTTGGTTCAGGGAGAAATTCACAGGAAAGGAACTAGAAAGACACAGATCTAAAAAAAAAAAAAAGACACAGATCTAACTTTTCACTGAGTGACGAAATTCTCTTAACCTCTAGAGTGAACAGGTTGTCCTGGTATAAAGAAAGTCCGTTTCTCCTCTGGAAGGTCCACGCCCGTCTCTGCCGCTCTCCCTCTCTTCCAAGGCTGGACAGGACTTACAAGCCCCGGCTCCCCACAAGGCAGTTTTTGTCTGCTTCGCCTATTTGTGTATATGAGGGGGCCCTGTGACCGCAGCCATGTACGCTCCCATTGGCAGGAGCCATCTTCTTCCTCCCTTCTCCTCACACTACCCACAGTAATGGGCTGAACAAGTCATTTTTCTCATCAACTCTCACACCAGTCTTTCCACCCAATGTGGAGACCTGGCCGAGCCTGTTCCACAGAGTCACCTCCTCCAAACCCCGGCCGAGCTTCCTGCCTGGTGGGGCGCACGGCTGAGCCCCCTCGGACTCCGAGACATGGGCCCCCAACCGGCCAGGGCAGTAGCGCGGCCCCGGTATCTCCCTCTAGTACTTCGCAGACCTGCTTCACGCATCTACGCCTCTACCCCGCCCGAAGACGGCTCATGGGCGGTGCAGCGGAGTGGGGACCCGAGCGCCGCGAGGATGGACGGGGTCCCCCTTCCGAAGCCCTTTCCGCCCCGGCCCCCCGGGCTGCGCTTTTACCCGACTTGCGCTTCTGAGGCTCGGCGCTGGGCTGGGAGCAGATCTTCTTGGCCAGGCCCTGCAGGTAAGCGTCCTTCGCTAGCAGAGAAGTCATGGCTGGAGGCTCGGGGGTCGGCCGGGGCTCGCTCACCGTCCTGCTAGGAGCGAGGAGGGCCGGGGTGCAGCGTTCCGGGCCGCCACCGGGCTCGCAGGACCCTCACCACAAGACAACACCCTCACCACAAGACGCCCTCATGAGACCCTCTCACAAGCCCCTCACCCGCCCAGCAACGCTCGCCGGAAATCACCACGTGCGCAGGCGCGGCTGGCCGAGCGCCGAGCCGCCAGCGCGCGGCGCTCGATTAACCGGGCCTAGGTGCCGCCGGAAGAAGCCTTTGGGGCGGGGAACGCAAAGCACTGTGGGGCGGGACGCAAAGCATTGTGGGGCAGAGGCGGCTCCTCGTACGCGGCGGGCCCCCGATTACCTTGGAGGGTGGGGGCGGGGCGACTGGAATAGACCCGCAATAATTGGGGCCTGTTTGGAGCTCAGCCCCCAAGAGGAAGCTGGCGAGACCGCGTTCGTCCGGAAAGGACTTGCGCGCCAGGCAGGTTCCAAACCCCGGGCATGCAAGCGATGAAGAAAACACGCGTCGGTGGCTCTGTCGTGTGTGGTTTCTTGGTGACTAGTGATAAATTCCGAGTATCGGAGGTGTCGGGTCGTGGGCTGTCGTTTCCTCCGTACACTGGGACGCTGACCTCCCTCTTGGAAGGAGACAGGACGCACCGGTGACAGGGCGCAGGGTTGACTTCCCAGCTCTTCTGGGTAACAGCCCCCGCCCCCCTCAGGTGAGCCTGGCTCCAGGCACGGGGCCTCGTTCCACCTGGGTTGAGTCCTGACGCCTCTCAGGGTCACGGGGCACAACACTTCACCCTCTTTGGAGCCCGCGGTCGGTCCTCCCTGACATGCCGGTAACCACAGCCCCGACTTGGGGGGCTACCGGAGGTTCAGACTTCCGGGCCCAAAGACATGCAGTAACGGTAGCAGTTTCTAATACATTCAATAAGTATTACTATTAAGGCCTTCTAGATCCTAGCCAGCTCTCTCCAGGCAATGGAAATGCATCCATGATCCCCATACCGATAGAGCCCCCCAGGGCCAGAAGGCTGACCTGAAGGCCAAGGTTGACTAGGCAGAGCCCAGGGGCTCTTTTCCGACAGCCACTGGGAGACTGAGTGGTCCAAAAGCAAGAAAAAGAACCAATCGATGCAAAAGGGCAGAGGTGGTTTTATCCAACAGTCTTTTATTACAAAAATAACCAAATGTATGCAGCAACAGAATTAGGAAGCACTCTGCCTGACTTCCATGAGAGTGGGCAGCCCCCTTTCCCCACAGCCCTGCAGGGGCAGTCAGCTAGCAGAGGAGCCTCAGGATGAGGTAGTGGGCAGAGCTGTGCATGGAGGCTGGGCCTTGGCTAGTACTGTCCACTCTGAGCACTTCCCCCCTCCCCCCATGGTAAATAGTATGCACAGGTTAGGTTTCCCAACACTGGGCATCCTTGCCCCGCTGGTCCTCAATGAGACAAACTCTCCTGGAAGCTCCCTTCTAGCCAGCCCAGAAAGCAGCAAATAGGAAGGATGGGCCACCCTGGAATGGTGGGGGGCACTCCTTCCCCCCAACACTCCTAGGTGGGCTGTCCCTGGGCTGACAAGGTTCCCAAAGAAGCCACAGTGGCTCCCCACTGTGGGATTTCATTCCTAAGATCCTAGGGGTCTGGGGCGCGGGGGAGCCCCAGGAGGCTCAGGTGTGCTCCGTGGGGCCTGGGCCACTAGTGTGGGAGTGGGCAGGGGCTGCAGCCTGCAGGGGGCCGCCAGCACTGGGCTCCGGGGATGCGAGCAGAGGGGCTGAGAGGCAGTCAGCGGAGTCTGTGTCCGGGTCCAGCCTCCAGTAAGCTTCGCACAGAGGCAGATCATTAGCTTCACATAGACTTGAGCTTTTCCACCACCAGAAACCCAGGGAGAGACAGGAGCAGGCAGAGATGAAGCCAGGGAAGGAAAGCAAGATAGAAGCAGTTAAGGAAACACAGATCACACCCCAGACCTGCATTCCCCTCCTCCCGTGTGCACAGGGTGCTGCGCCTGCTTCCCGGTCCTCCAGGGGCTCCTACAGGGACCCATTTGGGACCAGACCCTGGCAGGCTGTGTGACCTCGGCAGGTCCCTTCCACTGACCCATCCGTGTCCCTCCTGGCTCCAGTTGCCTTCCTCCTGCAGGGAGCTGCCAGCTCCACTCTCTAGCTGCAAGAACCAGCATCCAGAGGTGGTCTCCACGGTCCCTGCACTTCTCAAGGCCCCTGGGGGCAGAGACCTTGTCTATTCTCTGGGCCTGGGACTCAGCCTGAATGGGGTGGTGGTTAGAAACAGAGGCTCTGGCGTTCTGTCCGGCAGCCCTGCACCAGCTGTGTGACCTCAAACAGGACCGCAGTGCCTTGAACTCAGGCTCCCGTCTCTAACACGGGGACAGTCTACGGCCACGCCACACTCAACGCACCAGATCTCGTCTAGTGTGGGGACAGCACAGCTGGCCTCTCAGGGCAGGGATGCAGGTGAACACAGCATGGCTCGTGGAGGCCGTCCAGGGGGCGGGTGGGGCCTGTCCGTCCCCACACTTGTCCCGCGGGCTTCCTCCCGCATCCTGCCTCTCGCTCCCGCCCCCAGCATCCAGCCTCAGAACCATCCTGGACACAGAGCAGAGTTTTGCAGAGAGCGGAGGGCGAGAGGCAGAGAAAGCAAATCATGAGCAGAAAGCGGGGAAGCGAGCGTGTGGGCAGCGGGGATGCACGCGGAGAACGGGCTGAGCGCTGGGGCTGGGGCGAGGGGACACGCCGCCTGTGTAGGGGACAAGCAGGGAGGGGCCCACAGCCGGCTGGCCCTGACTCAGCTGAGCCCTGGCCACCACAGGCATTTACAGACGGAGGGCCTCAGCCTCTCGAAGACCCCAGGCTGGCTGAGCCAGACTGACGGCCTGGAGCCACGACAGGAGGAGCCTGGCTCTCAGGCGTTCCCCTTCAGCCCCCATTGCCCTCAGCCTCAAGAGGCAGGGCTAAGCTCTCTCCTGCAGACATTCAGTCCACGGCCCTGGCCCATGGGGGCCACAAGGGGGCAAACACAAAGACATAAGGAGCAATGCCCCCAGCAGGGTCTGAACCCCCCACCCAGGGACCACTCTGGACCCCTCCCTGAAGGCTACTATGTAGGAGGCACTTGCTGTGTGTCTGCTGAGCCAATAGGCATCAGGGATGAGAGGTGGCCCCAGAACCCTCTGGAAAGTTTAAACCACTCCAACCGAGCAGTGACACTTGTCCCTTCCCATGAAGGTAAAGGCAGGAGGGACAGTGAGGGGTGGCACTGGAACACACACAGAAATCAAGCCTCAGGCCACAGACACGCTGGCTCTGGGCATCTTTGGCCCCAGCCTGGCCGCCATGGGACAGAAAGGAGCAATGAAAATCCACGACAGGAAAGACACATTTATCCAGCGAGGGCGAGGGGGTGCCAACCCTGCGTCTGCTGGAGTGAGTCTTGATTTTTCCAAGCTAACGACGGATGTGCGAGGCCTCTCCAGCCTCAGCTTCCCCGTAAGTAAATTACACCTGGATTCTGATTTCCTGGGGTCCCTCCAGCTCAAACTGCCTTGGTTTTGGAACTGTAAGCAGGCCACAAGGGCTGGCGTCACAGGCCTTGCCCACTGCTGTGATTGGGCCTAGCATGCAGGAGGGCTGTGGTCTGTGAATAATGCTGAGCTGAACGGGAACTCTGGTCCAAGTGCCCAGGCCTGGCGTTCAAGGCCACACTCCACTTGGATTTTCTCCTCCTCCTTCCCAGGAACCCCCACCCCGACACACACATACAGAGTGGGTGTTCGGTGACACCCATGGCGAATCACAACCCTGGGGTCCTGGACAGGGGCCGGGTAGCCAAGAGCGCTGGCCCCGCGTGACTGGGATGCTTAGGCCTGGATTAGACGATTAAGACGGACAGATGGGCCCCCAGACAGAAACACTGGCCTGGCCCTCCCAACCCTCGAGGTTCTGATTTTCATTCTGATGCCCGGGCCCCAGGAGGCAGCATCAGCTGTCTGTTGATCAGACGTTCTGACCCTGAGGTCTGCTCTGAAACCCAGACAAAGGGTTCTGTTGCCGAGACCAGGAAGGGTTTGGAAGCAAGGACCTTCGGGCTGCTGGCCCGGCCCGGGTCCGCAGGTCCGCCGTGTACGGGGTCCAGCCCTATTTGTACCTGGACGAGTAATACTCCTCCTCCAGCTCGTACAGGTCGATGGAGACCTCGTCCCGCAGCGCGACGAGCTTCCGGTCACACTCCTCCTGCAGGGCACGCAGCTGCTGGCGGCGCTGGTCGATGGCCTCATTCACCGACGGGAAGTCGTTGAGGATGAGGAACTGCTTGAGGTCAGACACCAGCTTCATCAGGGACTCGCCAGCTCGGACCTGTGGCCGTGGGGATCAAGCGGCATGGTGAGGGGCCGCCTGCCTCCGTGTGCCTGATGCTGGGTAGGCAATGGCAGCGGTGGCCTCATCCGCGAAGTGGGGCCACAGCACTCACACAGGGTCATCGCCAGAAGTGAGGGACTAGAAGGTGAGTGAGGGGAGGGCAGGGTCCCTGGCAGCCACCGCAGGCACGTGAATTGCTGCCATGGCAGGTGCCATCGGGCCTCTGGCTTCCACTCCTACAGGTATGATGGCCAGTCACACACTTTATTCAATCACGTATCCTGCTTCTGAAAACCTCAAACCCCAGACAAAACTGCCGTCCATTTAACCTGCCCTGTTCTTCCTCAGGGCCAGCATACCTGCCAGTTGTGGGTCCTACCATTCAGGACCCTGTGCTATGCATTTCCATCCTGGGTGTGGACCCATGGAAACGCTTGGTGGCTTTGCTTGTTCCGTGGCATTGAAAGGGATCAAGATGCCTGTCCTGTTTCATCTGGCCGTTTGCTTCTTGCATTTATAGAACCTTTACTTATAAGAAACCTTTGTGTATAAAGAACCTGCACTTATAGAGAATCTTCAGAGAGGAAGGGCTGATCTCTTTGTAACCCCTGCCCAGCACTGGACAGAGTGACCGTACCCACTACCTGCCAGCCCCTCCCTCAGCTGCCAAGGAAAGCCCTCCTCTCGAAGGGAGGTTTGCCCCTCTGCCCTCGGGACCACAGGCTTCTGGAGCCTGGACTGTCCCCTCCACCTGGTGACTCACGATGTTGGCGGCTCTCACGTGCATTTCGTAGTTGTCCTGCTCGCCCTGAGTGGCCCTTGACACCTGCGTCTCGTCCTCAATCTGGAGGGCAAATGAGAAAGTCCAGTATGGGCAGATGCCCCGGCCCACACGTACCCAGTGGTGGCGTTGGTGCACTCACACTCGCCACACCCTGTGGCCTATCTTGCCCTCTGCACCAGATGCTGCCCACAGATCTCAGGCTGCGTGCTCCAGCACCCCCCACCCCCACCCTGTTCTAAGGAGGTAAGGGGCACCCTCACAGGACCAACAGATGCTCAAGTACGAGGGCTGCTGCGCCAGGTGCAAGGAGGGGTTGGCCCCATCTCTTCAGCTTGTGCACTCAGCGACCTCCTGAACGGATGAATAAAAGGACAGTGTATTTTTTTAAGTGACCATTTTCTGAGGGTTTTCTGGGTGCCAGACACTGTGTTAAGCACTTAACCATCATCTTAGGAAACTCTCACTGAAGCCTGGACAATCTTCCCTGGGGGGCAGACCTGAAGCCGGGACAGACCTGAGTGCACTCCAGGTGTCTCAGACGGTCAATGGAGGAGCCAGGAGTCCTGCACCACCTGTCCTGTCCAAGGTCCGGGCTATTAACTGTCCCAACCCACCCACCAGGCCAGGATGCAGGCAGGGGTCAGGGCACTCTAAGTGGTAGGGACCCAGATTTCCCAGATCCCAATCCCAGCCCTGTTGGATATTCACAAAATATCCTGACTTGGGGCAGGATGCTAAAGCTTCTGAGTCTCTGTTCCCTCCTCTGAAAAGGAATTGGAGAGCAATGACCTGCCCTATAGCATTCTCTTGACGATTAAATGGGACGGGACACAAAGGGCCCTCACAGCTCAGCCTGACACTACGTGAGCACTAAATATCACTGACAGCACTAGCTTCCACCGTCACTATTAAGGCTCAAGCGAGTTACAGGACTGGAGCAATCATGCAGAGATCCAGCCCCACTCCAGTCAGTGGGCTTGCTTGCCCAGAACCGGCTGCTGACCCTCTCTCTGCCCACATGAGGGGCTTTCCCCAGCTTCTCTCCCGACCACATGCGCTCACAATAGTCCCTAGTGACTGCTTTAGGCGGATAAACACATCCAGCCAGACAAGGACGCCATGCTGCAGGGGACACTGAGGCACTGAGAAGTCAAGACCTCATCCAACCCCTTGATGCTAGTAAGTGACGCTGGATCCCGGCACTGTGACTGGAATCCCATACAAATGCCTCCCCAGGGCCTGTGATTAGCCGGGAGATTTACCTGTCTCCCTTTTTGCTGCGGTCACTCTCTCCCCCACACCCCCACCCCCGGCCCTCCCAAACGTCCTCCCCATGGGGACGAGGGCCCTGCCTGGGGGCTCACTGCAGGATGGCCACCACCTGGCTGGGAGCACCCACGTGCAGTGGGTGCTGTTGAAAGCGGACGCCCCGACTCAGCTCTGCTCACTACTGTATTGGTCTTCAAGGGAGCCGGAGACCGGCGGCCCCCACCCACCTTGGCGGTCTTGATGATCTCGGTGAAGTTGTCCATGATGGACTTGACATCGTCCTTAAGCCGCTTGTTGTAAGACTGCAGCAGCGTCTCCTTGCTCTGCGGCAGGGCTCTCTGCTGGGCCATCGCGGGGCCTCAGGCAGCGCAGGACGGGGCGGGGGGCACCTGGAAGCGAGTCTGGGTGTGAGCAGGCCAGCTCCGGCCTCTCTCTCCGCTGCAGGCGCCAGCCTGGGTAGGACCCTCGGGCAGGCTCTCCGGAGATGCCCTTTGCGCCAAACACGCGATACGGGCTCTCCTCTGGTCCGCGCCCCCTCGGCCGGACCCCGACGACCACTCGGCCGGCGCCGGCGCAGCCCTCTCGGAGGCCAGGCTGACGCACGTCCCCGACGGCCCGCGCGGACCCGAAGAGCCGCTCGGGTCCTACCCCGACTCTGTCGCCCCCGTCTCCACGCCGCGGGCCCTGGAGGGCCGCCCCACGAGGCGTCGGGGCTCCTCCGTCCCGGGACCGGCCGCCCTCCCGCCCCGCGCCAGGTGCCTCCGGGCTGCGCGCGCGCTCCCGCGCGGCGAGGCTCCCCGACCGAACTCGCGGGGGAGTAAACCCCACCAGAAGGACGCCGACCGAGCCACGCCGCCCCAGCTCCCGCAGTGGGTCCGCAGAGCCGGGGCCCGCTGGGTACCTCGCTGGGGGAGGAGTGGGGGGGACAAGCGCGCGCCCCTCCGAGTCAGTCTCCGCGGCCCTTCCCTGGGCTCCCACGGTTCTTCCTGCTCAAGGTACCGCCCCCGACCGAGCGGGAGGGAAAACGAAGTTCTTTCTCTTTAAATCCGAAATCCCGCGCCGGCGCCAGTTCTCGCGATCTCCGAGGGCGCCTACAAATTACCCACAATTCCTCGTCCTTTCTCTCTACGCCAGCCTTTCAAGATGGTGAGTCTGTTTTCTGTTCGTCGTGCCGGTTCGGTTGTCTGAGCTCTATCCGCCGCCATCCTCCTCGAGGCGCGACCGCGCGGGGGTGCCTCCACTGCCCAGAGCGAGGGCACCCCGCAGGGTCTCGCTCAGCGGGAGTCTTACTCCCCGCCTTCGTCTGGCAGGGAGGGATGATGATCCGGGGAGAGCAGCGCCGCAGTGCGGGGCTCGGGGACGGACGGGGCCGGGGGGGTGGGGGAGCTTCTCCATTTCTTAGGGGCCCGCTCAGGGGGTCTCGGCCCGCGCGGTGTCTTCTCTCGCCTCTATTGTTTGGAGCCTGCCGGTCCCCGAAGAGGGGGCCCGCTGTCCCCGTCGCGGGGAAGGGGCGGCGCCGCGGGTTTGCGGACCCGCCGCGCTCGTGCAGATGATGTGAAAGAATATTTGCTATCTGAGTGATGGTGAGGACGTTCCTGACCACCAAGATCGCTGATGTACGAGCTGGGGGCGGCCTCTGGGCCCGCGCGGCGCCTGACACACGAGGGGTCGGGCTCGCCCTCGGGGGTGGCGGGGTCGCCCGCCGTCCGCGCTCGTCATCGGGGGGCCAGGCCCCCAGGACCCGCCCGTCTGTAGAGAAACCGGCAGAGGCGGCGGTGGCGAAAGCTGGTGTTTTTTCTCGCCCAGCCGAAGGGAAAGAAGGCTAAGGGGAAGAAGGTGGCCCCGGCCCCGGCCGTGGTGAAGAAGCAGGAGGCCAAGAAGGTGGTCAACCCCCTGTTCGAGAAGAGGCCCAAGAATTTTGGCATTGGTGAGTCAGAAACGGGAGATGTGTTTTCACGTTATCCTCGATGGAGAAAAATAGTAGTTCGTTGAACAGGAGGTCGTATTCTGTCCTAGATTTCACTGGGTTCGGAGTCGAGGCTTACTTGGGTTGGAATTCTCACGTTTTGCCACTTTCTAACTAAATTGTGCTCGGCTCTTAATCTCTCGCTTTGAGAGGTGGGGCAGTGACGGTCCTTTCTCAGTGGCCTCACTGTAAGCCTGAACATGTGTCACCGTGGAGCCCAAGTGCTGGCCTTTGGGGTTTGGCTTGGCCATCAAGAACCTCTTGATGGCTCCCAGCGCAGAGGTGATGGGGCTGACTGCACCTTGGCTGCTTGAGGAACAGGAGGTGGCGCTATAGTCTCCCCTGTGTTCTTTGGTGTTTGTGTGCAAATGATGTAAAAGTATCTGTTACCTGGAATCTGGTGATGACATTTTAAACCACCAAGATCGCTGATGCACCTACGTCCTTACGTGTGTTTCTATACCTGAACTTGACAAGGAGTTTGAGCCTCACCTCGTTACTTTTTACTTCACAGGACAGGACATCCAACCCAAGAGGGACCTCACCCGCTTTGTCAAATGGCCCCGCTACATCCGGCTGCAGCGGCAAAGGGCTATTCTCTATAAGCGGCTGAAAGTGCCTCCTGCAATTAATCAATTCACCCAGGCCTTGGACCGACAAACAGGTGAGGTTCTGTGGCTTAAAAACACCATTGGGAAGGGATTTCTTGGACATGGTTGCCACCCTTTCTTGGACGTGCTAGAACTCAGGCTTTTGAAGGGGCAGTGTGTGTTTTTAATAGGCTGGTTTATTAAAACTTAAAAGATTCCTTGTCTAGTTCCAAAATATGACATACTGATGGGTTAATGAACTAGGTCTGAGATCTCTTGGTCTGTGGTTGTATCCAGGACTGATCTAGCATTTATTGTTAAGTGATAAATATTGCAACTTCAGATCTGAATTTTTTTTTTTTTTGGTCAGCTACTCAACTGCTTAAGCTGGCCCACAAGTACAGACCAGAGACAAAGCAGGAGAAGAAGCAGAGGCTGCTGGCCCGCGCTGAGAAGAAAGCCGCCGGCAAAGGCGACGTCCCCACCAAGAGGCCACCTGTCCTTAGAGCAGGTGAGTGCACCTTTCCTTGAAGAAGGTGAGTTGTGGGACAGGCTGTTGGCAATGATGCATGAATTTCTTCACCTGGAATCACTGTGGAGAGTAAAATCCGAGCTTTTTAACCCTGAGCCACAGCCAGGCTGCGTGGAACTGCTTTTGTGAACAGCAGCCCCACCTCGCCCTCATGCAAACTGGCTGTGTGTTCTAGGGGTCAACACTGTCACCACCCTGGTGGAGAACAAGAAGGCTCAGCTGGTGGTGATCGCTCACGACGTGGATCCCATCGAGGTATGTGTGGCTTGTGTGCCTGTGTCGACTGCTGGACTTAGATTGGTGGGCCCTTGTCTGTACCAGGAAGATAGTGCCAAACTAGATGCTGGGTCTGACAGGCATTGTCAGGTTTTCATATAAGGAAGCCCTGACAAGGGATCCAGTCCCTGGTTTTGCGATGGTGCGGCTTTCTGACTGAAGTAAACCTTGACGCGCAGACACACGAGCTTTCTAGCCCTGAGCACTTGCTCCCACGACAGCCATTTTAAGTTGCTGCTTTTGCTCCAGATGACTCTCGCGCTGACGCTGTCTTCCAGCTCGTGGTCTTCCTGCCTGCCCTGTGCCGCAAGATGGGGGTTCCCTACTGCATCATCAAGGGTAAGGCCCGGCTGGGCCGCCTAGTCCACAGGAAGACATGCACCACCGTAGCCTTCACACAAGTCAACTCGTAAGTGCAGCGGAGCCCAGCATTCCCAAGTCACTAGGGGACCACCCTGCCCCCACTCCAAGGTCACATAATTTCTCAGGGTTTTACTTTAAAAAGTACATTTTCTGAATCTTTGCCAATGATGGTTATGAATTTCTTCACCTGAATAAACCATGTAGTTATGCTATATCTGAGGCAAGAGGCTTCTGTTGGAGCTAAATTGATGTCATGTCTGCTTTGAGGGAGGTGGGTAACTTGACAGGCCAGTGACCTTAATTTTCCTCTGCCTTGTCAGGGAGGACAAGAGTGCCCTGGCTAAGCTGGTGGAAGCCATCAGAACCAATTACAACGACAGATACGATGAGGTAAGAAACACATTCATACAAAATATTGTCTTTGAAGCCTTTAATCAAAGACTGGCTGCTCTTGGGTCTGAGCAGTTGTATATGCCAGTGAACTTGGAACAATGAAATAGAATTGCATGAACCAGCGTGGTTTGAAAGCCTTAGAAAATGACACAGCAGGCTGACCGTCTCTCTTCTCCCACAGATCCGTCGTCACTGGGGAGGCAATGTCCTGGGGCCGAAGTCAGTGGCTCGCATCGCCAAGCTGGAGAAGGCTAAGGCCAAAGAACTGGCCACCAAGCTGGGCTGAGTGTACACTATTGAGTTTTCTGTACATAAAAGTAATAAAAAGGCTGCTTCAGCTGGTATTGAGCATTCTGGGATGAGAGTTTGGGGATGGTGACGAAGTACTTTCATCAGTTGTGCGTCCAGTTTGGGGGGCGGGGCGGGCGGGCACTGTGCTTGGTTTTCATTTACTGCACATAATTTTTTCCCTTGTTTGTGGTAAGCAGGGGCTCCTCTCCAAGTTGTGCATGGGCTTCTCCCTGTCACCACGGAAGCCCTGTGTGTGTGTCCAGCTTCTTAAAAGGCTGTCTTAGGTGGTACATTGGAGTTTAGGTGGAAAGAAAGGCACTTCGTGTGCTGCAGAGATTTATTTATACCAAGAGCACATGATCAGCATAAAACCAAATCTCTTGAAGTGGCTTCAGTTGTTAAGGGACAGGCTGACTTCGGCTAACCTCACACACCAGGAGTCCGACTTAGGAACTTCTTGCACCACAGGTACGAGGTGGCCGCACAGAGTCCATACCTTGGGTTGAAAGCAGGGAACACTGTCGGGGCGGGGTGGGGGGTGGGGGCTGGGGGGAGGGAGAGGGCGAGGCCAGGCCCAGGCTTACCAGGTGATGATGTACTGCAGGTGCTCGTTCCGCAGTGTGACTCTGGTCTGCCCTCCAATGGGCCCGCCAGGGACTGTGCTCTCTGCAGGGACATAGAAGTGTCCTCATGGTGTCAGTGGGGCACTCAGCCAAGTCAGGCACACTCCCACCCACTGACATACATGCTGGGGTGTAAAGGACAGGAGGAGAGGTGTGTGGCCAGGGCTAAGAGGGAGGTGTTGGGGTGTGCTGCTCATAACATACTGAAGTCCGCATCAATGAAGATGGGTTCTGCGCCTGTGAGCCTGGCCATGGCCTCCAGGTCCCGGTAATGCCAGTGGTTCCGCTCCGGATTGTTCTCGGGGACAAAAGGCTTCCTAGTCTCTGTGAGCCTCACCATCCCCACCAGGTCCACCTCTCCCTCGATCTGTGAGGGAAGGTGAGAGATGCCGTGTCTCTGCAGAGTTGGGACAGCTCCTCCCGGAGGGGACAATCCATGGCCCTCACCTGGCCTTTACGCCGCGTGTCTGGATTCACTTTCCTCCTGGGCACAAACCCTCTGTTCACCAGAATGGTGATTCTAGAGTAGTAAGAACAGGCTATTTCAGGCAGGGAACAGGTTCTGAATGCAGGTGATGAGTGGTCACTGGGTGCCTCAGGGAAAGACAGCACAAGGGAAAGATGAAGTAGAGCGGGCTGGGGGCAGGGGTGGGGCTCCAGCCCCGCGAGTGCTGTGGGTTCCCATCCTGCCCACCGCCAACCTCTGCCGTTTCACCTGCTGCAACACAGCCGGTGGTGGATGTCTCCCCCCTGCCTCTCCCTTCAACTCCTGCTTTCAGTTCGCTGTCCTAGCCTAGCTGCAGCACTGGGGCCCATCCTGTGCAGAAAACCAGAAGGCGAAGGCTGAGGCCCTAGGGTTTCTTCTCAGGCTGATGCTCCCGTTTTGGGTCTTGGTGATGGTGGGGGAAGCGGTGCTGCAGGGCTGGCACTGACTACATACCACTTCCTACTCAAACAGCCTCCTGGGAAGGCTCCCCTGACCCGGAACCCTCCACGCAAGGCTGGGGCTCCTCTGCTGGCCCACCTGTTGCCCCATAATCACTAAGTGTCAGCTGAACGGTTTCTCCAAAGAAGTCTATTTCATGCTCCTTCCCCTTCAGAGCTCAACAACGCAGATGAAGTTCAGTAATTAGCTGTCTTAATGACACCAGGATGACATTTCAAACTCTCCAAGGAGTTGAGCTGTCTGGGTAGCTTGGATTCCCCGGGGTTGGGGGCTGAGAAGGAACATGGGAACCAGTACCTCTGCTAGGCCACTCAGCACCCCTTCCCTGACATGCCACTCACCCCAGCTCAGTGCAGTGGAAGGGAGTGACCACGTAGGCACCGCTCTCAGCCGCTGATGAGAGCCGGCCGGCTTCCCGGGCCTCCCGGGCAGGGTCCACCATCGTCCGCGGCATCATGTAAAGCTCCTTGGAGTGGTCAAAGTGCCCCCTGACCTTCACGGGCCTGTACTCCAGGTTCTTCAGTTCCATTGGGCTATAAGGGGCGGGAGAAGGGGAGCCGAGACCCACTTCAGGGTCTGCAGACCACGCCTCCCACCGTGGCCTGAGCAGAAGATGCACCAGCACCATGGGGGCTGCAGGGCTGCATGCTGTGCCCTCGAAGCGGGGCTGGGTCCTTGGGAAGCATGCGGAACGAGGATCTGTGCTGCTAAACGGTCCCAGTTTTCAAGAAAAGCGTAACGCTGTGGACTCCTGTGTGAACTCAGTAAAACAGAGGGGCCAAAGCAACCATCTGCAAGGCAAACATGACCCACCGTCTGCTCCCTTGAATGGGAAGCGTCATGACAACAGCTGTCCTTGTAGGCAAGTGTTTTTAAAGGAGGGAAGAAGGCAGGAGAATCACTAGGCACATTTTCAAAACACCACTCATGTCCAGACATGACACGTCTGTACTCCCGCCACCTAAGAAATACTGCTACGGGAGGCCGTCAACACTGCAGGAGCCCTCAGTACACTGGGCCTGCAAACGGGTGAAACCCAAAGGCCTTTTTACATGTGTGGGTCAGGCAGCAGCTGGGTGTCAACAAGAAGCTGAACAGGCCCACTGAGGAGTCAGGAAGGCAAGCTGCAGCCAGGCCCCACTGCTGACCGTGAGCAAGCCCAGCCCCAGCTGGGCAGCCGCACACACTCACTCTGCGGGCAGTGGGATGGGCTCAGCCATAACTCTCGACTCTAGCTCTGCGATCAGCTGTAGCTTCCACTTCCGACGCTGGACCTGTGGGCACAGGGCGTAAGCCCAACTGGGCGGCAGCACAGTCAAGGGCTCAGGGCCAGGAGAGCCACATCAGCCTTTACCTGCCACGTCCCCAGGCCAAAAGCAGTCACAGGAATAAGCAGCAGAAACCAGCGGAGGAAGGACTCATCTTCGCTTTTTGTGGCAGTTGCTTCGGCTGAAGAGCTACCACACCTGCGGGGCCTCCAGGCCAACCCTAGGAGATGTCACAGCACGGGCATGGGGCCAGAAGCCCTGGAAAGAAGAACTGCAGTGGCCAATTCCTCGAAGCTGCCCTGACTGCCTGAGAGAACGTGGAACAGAAGGAGGGCGGCCACCGCGGGCAGTCAGAGCTAACCAGCAGCCCCTGCGTCCGGCCCAGCTCCTAACCCTAACCCTAACCCAGCGCAGGACCCCCACTCAGCAGTCACCGACTGAATGAGATCCAGCGATTAGGGCCTGGCTCTGCCACCCGCCATGACCCTGGGTAACTCAAGGAACCACCTCATGGCTTTCCTGCAAGGACATGCTGAGACCTATCCTGTTACTTAGACACACGGACTGCCCATGCTCTGCAGAAACAGAATGTGATACACTTCAAGACAGTGGTTTACAGAGCTCTCAGAACGACTTTTCCTTTGAATCGCTCACAAATTTAAAGTTGGAAAAACGTACACAAGAGGTACCTTAGAGCGCTCAGAGCGTGACTTCCATCAATGGAAAGCAACCTAGGTCTTAGGGATGGTTAAAAAAAGGCAGGCCTGGAGCAAACTTACAGCCGCCTTTCCAGGGCGCACAGCGCTCTATACACAAACACCCTTTGCTGAACCGCGGGGACCACATGCAAACTATACAGACAAGCCATGCTTTCCTTTAGGATCCCAGACGGTTTCGATCTCGGGTCGGCCCCGCCTCAGCCTGAGGCGGCCTCGGGCAGTGGCTGCACTTGTCGGCCGGGTGGCAGCACGGAGAACAGCCGGCGCGCACCCAGGGCCCGACTCCCGAGGCTGGGGCGGCAGTTTCAGAGCTTATCGCGACACCCTCGCCCCCCCGGCAAAATGAACGCACGGACTGAAAGGCTTTCCCGGGGCGCCTGGGGCGTCCCTGCACAAGAACTCACCTGCGCGCGGGGCGATCGCCAGGGCGCTCCTCCAGACGACGCTGGCCGGGGCCTGCGGAGACGCATAAGGCCGGCTGAGCTCACCCACTCCGAGGGCGCGCCCGACCGGCCGCCCCCCCGCCCAGCCGCACCGCCCCGGCCCACTCACCGTCCCCGCGCCCGCCGCGAACAGCAAAGGCCGCAGCCCCGCGGCGCGCAGCCCCAGCTGCAGCACCGCCGCCGCCATCGCCCCGCCCGCTCACTTCCGGGCCCTGGAGGCGTTTGCTTCCGGGACGTCGTTCGGCCCCGCCTCCGGCCCGACCCCCGACCCACGTGGTTCCGGCGAAGGTCGGCGAAGGAGCCATGAACGAGCTGCCGGCGGACGTGCGCGCCTTTCTGCGCGAGCACCCGAGCCTGCGGCTGGAGCCCGGCGCCTGCAAGGTGGGAGCGGGGCGGGGGTGGGGTGCGGGAATCCCACGGCGGGCCCGGAGACCCCCAGCGCCCGGACCCCGTGACCGCGCCGCGCTCCCGCCCGCAGGTGCGGTGCACTCTGACCGGCCACGAGCTGCCCTGTCGCCTGCCCGAGCTCCAGGTCTACACCCGCGGCAAGAAGTACCGGCGGCTGGTCCGCGCCTCCCCGGCCTTCGACTACGCCGAGTTCGAGCCGCACATCGTGCCCAGCACCAAGAACTCGTACGTGGCCGGGCCGGGGCGGGGCGGCCGGGCACTGCCCGCGGAGACCCAGGGAGGGACAGTTTCTAGTGCTGAGTCTGGGACTGGGTAGACTCCGGAGCCCCGACCCCTCCTCGCAGAGTGAGCTCTCTTCAGAGATGCGGCCAGTTTGGCAGCGCCCACCCTCCCGTCTTATAGGAGACCTGAGATGCAGGTGGGAGTTCCGGAGCTGTGAGTCACCTGGGACCCCAAGTGAGACCCCCATCTCGCTCATGTCTATGTGTGTGTGTTCAGTCGCTCAGTCGTGTCCAACTCTTTGCGATCTGGTGGGCTGTAGTGCACCAGGCTTTTCTGTTCTTCACCATCTCCTGGAGTTTGCTCAAATTCATGTCCATTGAGTCGGTGTTGCTAGCTAACCATCTCATCCTCTGTCGTCCCCTTCTCCCCTTGCTCTGAATCTTTCCCAACCTAAGGGTCTTTTCCACTGAGTCGGCTCTTCGCATCAGGTGGCCAAAGTATTGGAGCTTCAGCTTCAGCATCAGTCCTTCCAGTGAACATTCAGGGTTGATTTCCTTTAGAAGTGATTGGTTTGATTTTGCTGTAGAAGGGATTCTCAAAAGTCTTCTCCAGCATCACAATTCAAAATTATCAGTTATTCCGCACTCAGCTTTCTTTATGGTCCAACTCTCACATTCATACATGACTACTGGATGGTAGTGCATTACAGTGTTACCGTCTGCATATCTGAAGTTGATATTTCGTTTTCTTTTTGTAAACACGAGGTTTGCCACCTGGCCTGTTTGCTTCGTAGAGGGTTGGCGCACTTGTGGTCTGTCACCTGAGGTTCTGAAGGCGGTCGTTTTCCTTCTTGAGTGTAAAGGAGAGCTTTGATTTAGCCGAGAGGGCATGGTTGACAGTAGTAGTCAAGATGAAGGGGGGGGTGGCAGACAGTCCCGCTGTCCAGCACTTTGTGAAGTGGTGGTTCACATGCCTCTCCTGCTGGAGCAGCCTGGGGAGGCTGGCCAGGCTGTCTAGGCCTGTTTTCTGGGTGGACAGTGAAGCTGTCTGGAGGAGTGGCAGCCTGCAGTTGCTTGGAGGAATCCTGATGCCTAAGCCACACGGCAGACCTCCCTCATCAGACTCTAGGGGTGATTCTAAGATGTGGCCATGGTAGAGAGCTGTGGGTCTGGACCCTGACTTGTGAACTGTCCCTTAGGCGTCAGCTGTTCTGCAAACTCACCCTGCGACACATCAACAAGTCCCCGGAGCACGTCCTGAGGCACACCCAGGGCCGGCGGTACCAGAGGGCGCTGCAGAAGTGTAAGTAGCCTCGGGGGACATGGGTGTCTGGGTGCTTGCGTGCTCTCCCCAGGACCAGCACCCCTAGAAGGCAGAAGCGGCAGCCCAGTCAGCCTTTGGTGGCCCTTGGTGGATGCACCAGGCCCGGTCCCAGCATGGTGAGGAGAGGGTGATGGTAGAGACGGCCCAGAGCGAGCAGCAGACTCGGAGTGACGTGGGTTGGGTTAAGTGCTGTGAAGGAGACAGTGCTGAAGAATCCCCAGGTGGGCCTGCCTCACACAGGAGGCTCTGTGAGGGTTTCTCTTTAGACAAGACTTGAGGGGCTGCTGGAAGAATGGTCGGCGTGGCCATGGGGAGGGGGGTTCTGTAGGATGGCTGCTGTGCCACCAGGCAAGTGGACTTGGAAAGGCAGGTGGGGATGAGACCACAGAGGGTCTTGGCAGCTTTGGATGGGAGTGCGCTGGAGGGCTAGAGCCAGGACTTCATGGAGCACACCATCCAGGGAGGGGTCCCAGCTGCTGTGCCTGAGCGGGCGTCAGTCTCCGGGCGGCAGGCTGGCGTGGCTTCCTGGAAACTGGCTGGAGCCGAAGGAATGGGTGCTCCAGGCCTGTTCGGTCTTCGCTGTCCTGCCCCTGGCCCGCACCCCGACACCCCTGGCTGCTCTCCCCAGAGGAGCTGAGCTGAAGGCGCTCCTGCTGTTTCCCTGGGGAGGAGGGTGGCAGGGCCCGGGCCAAGCCCAGCTGTGTGCCGGAGGACGGTGGGGAGATGTGAGGGAGCCAGGGAGCATACCGGTCTGTCTCACAGATGAGGAGTGTCAGGAGCGGGGCGTGGAATTTGTGCCGGCCTGCCTCCTGCACAAGAGGAGGAGGAGGGAAGAGCAGCAGGACGGTGACGGGCCGCCACGTCCTAGAGAAGCCTTCTGGGAGCCCCCGTCCAGCGATGATGGCGCCGCCCCGAGTGACAGTGATGACAGCATGACAGACCTGTACCCGCGTAAGCTCCAGTGCTCGGGGTCCGGGTCACAGCTGTCCCCGCGGATTCCATCAGCAAGCCGCTCCCTGCTGCTGCATGTCCGCCTCTGGTCCTGGGCCTGGCTGACCCCTCGGCATAGGTGGTGCACTTGACCTAAGACAGCCCAAATCTCTACACCTTGCAGCTGAACTGTTCTCCAAGAAGGACCTGGAAGCGCCCGGGCCTGGGGACAGCACTGACGACTTTCTGACCGAGGACGAGGACGAGAGGCCGAGGGGCCCCCGAGAGACGGGCCCTGAAGACAGGGGGGCCCTGGGAGCGGGCCAGGAACGCATCCTCAAGCGCAGGAAGGTAGTGCTGTCTCCCAGGGTGCTGGCGTGGCAGCAGTTTCCTGTAGCCATGGGTTTCAGCTTCTTTAGAAAAAATCAGATCCTTTTTTTTTTTTTTTTAACAACTGAAATTTCAAGCCAGCAGTGTACAAGACAGGTGCTGGCGGGGCTGCTTCCTGGTGTGCGCTTTCACAGAAGGGGCTGCACGGAGCAGGCTCAGAGCCCCAGGTCTAAGGCAGGACAGCCCGGGCACAGCGCAGGAACCTTGAGGAGAGGACTCGACCAGAGCCCCCGGAACCTCTGAGACTGGGGCAGGAAAGACGGTTCCGTCAGTGACGCAGCACTGGGCTGGTAGAGGGCGGGGCAGGGCTGTGCGGTTGGGGTCCCAGTGCTGCCTTTAACTGCCCCACCGAGTCATCAAGGAAGCTGCAGCCAGAAAGCTGCCCAGGGGTTCCCACTAAAGTCCCTTCCTCCCTGCGGGCTGGGGTTGGGGGGCAGGCTCACAACACCCCGGCATCGCATCAGAATGCCCCCGCTAATGGGAATTCTCTGTTTGTGCCACAGAAACAGTCCAGCTCCTTGAAAAAGAAGTTCAAAAGTCACCACCGCAAACCTAAGAGCTTCAGCTCTTGTAAACAGTCGGGTTAATGAAAGGTCGCTGGGGAAAACGCATCGAGAGAATTCTGAAAGTCCTCGGAAGTAGCCCGCCAGGGTCCACACGGGTCCAGCCGGTGTCCCAAGACCTGCTTCACGCACTCCTTGCTTGCTGCCCCTGCATGGCTGAGGTCTGAGCCCCACACCCAGGGAGCAGCACGGACCCCAAAGGAAGACCTCCGTCTGGACACGGTCTCGGGCGACGCCTGGTAGGGGCACCCAGAGATTGCCCTGGCCAGGCCCCACCTGGCTGGCGGACACCAGAGGACCACACTGCGTACAACAAATGCCATTATTTATTTTGATGTGTCTCCAAAAATCAAAATGTTTTCAAACACAACTAAGATATAAAATACAGCATGAGATTTATACCTATTTCCCACAGAGAGCCAAAAAAAGAAGTGTTTTTTTTTTTAATTGTTTTTGCTCAAACCAATTTATTAGGTCCTTTCTCCTCTTACATAAGCATCTACCCTGCCCTGAGTGTGGCCCACTCAGGGCAGGGGCTGTGGACTGGTGACCACCAGGGGTCAGTCTGCTTTTACAAACCAAAACCTGCCACAGAACAGCTGCGGCCTGGCCAAGCGGGCTGCTCCCTGGGCCAGGAGGCTGGGTGACTGGGCGGGGTGTGCAGACAGAGGCCACCCTGCCCAGACTGACACCGAGTCTGCCCCCCATGTGTGGGCGTGCCCGCGGGATGGAAGTAGAAAGCCCTCCATCCTTATAAATACTTGGGGAGCAGGGAAGTGGGCTCCTGGGGGTGGGGTGTAAGGAGCCTCTGCAGTGGTGGGGCTCGGGGGGGGGGTATACACGGGTGGTGCTGGAAAGGTGGCGATGGCTCCCCTCGGGTTAGCTGGGTCCAGACTGTAGGGAAGGTTCTAGCAGCTCTGATGGGTAAGAGCCAGCCTCCCCCTGCCCTGTGAAGTTGCTCCCCTCACCCTGGCTCAACACAAAGGTCCGTGTGGATGCGGGTTCGGGACTGGCCCCAGAAGCCCCAGGGAAGGCCCTCGGGTCAGGCTCGCACCCCCAGCAGATGAATCCAGAGAAGACGGGGCCTGCTCCAAGGCAAGGTTTGTGAGACCTCGGAGGGCCTGGCCCCCAGGAGGGCCTGGGGAGGGGCCCGGGGGGGGGGGCATAGGGGTTGTGGTCACCTTGTGGCCTCTGCTACTAGGTGGACGAGTGAAGAACAGCGAGAAGAGCTCACGGCCCCGCCCCCAAGAAGAGAAACACAGTATAAGGCAATGTTAGAAAACTTTAAATACAGGATCAAGATCCAATCGGTAAGGCATCACAAATCGTAAAAAGTAATTGGGGCTGCATTCAGCATAGCAAACAGACAATCTGAGCAAGCAGCGGCCTCATGAGGGCGGGGAGAGAGCGGGGCCGGGGGGGCACCAGGCCGGCTGCAGCTACGGCTCTGGGATGGTCAGCCTGAGGTAACTGGTCTGAGCGCCCGCTCCGGCCCGGCCCAGCCCGCAGCGGCAGCTGCTCCCTGGCTGGGCACGCAGGGGCCGATGAGGCCCACGTGCTGCCAGGCATGGGCTCCAGCCCCTGCGGGCTCCGGGTGGCCTTTCTGAGGGCCTTGTCCCCACCGTGAGACCCTCGTGCTCCCAGGCATCGCCCCACGGAAACCGTACTGGCCCCAGCTCCTTCTCTGAGGAACGCCCTGGCCACGAACCGCAGCCTCGCCTGCCGCTCTAATACTGCCTTATTCTTTGGGTCTGGGGTTTCTCTAAACGCTCTCACCGGCCCGTAAGAGGCTCCCAGCGCAGGGCGGAGACCACGGGGAAGGCACTGGTGCGGGGCTGAACCAGTGTGTTGGTGCTGGGCTGGGCCACCCTGATCATTGAGTAGTTTTAGCTAAAAAGGTAAACTTCAAAAAAAAGGAAGAGGGAGGCTGCTCTGAATGATACACAAATGTATCTGCTCACAGTAGGCTTCCAGGTCCCCACCCCAAAAATGAAACAGAAAAACAGGGCTGACAGGTCACAGCCAAGCAAGATGCCCACTCCAAGAAGCCATGGCCCTGCCCTGGGGTTGGGAGCGCTGACCTCGGCCGGCCGGCTCCACGCGGTCAGATACCAGGCTGTGGGTCCATAGCAGGTTTAGCCGTTAATTATCAGGTGTCTGCAAATAAAATTCTCAAAACATCTGTGCCTTTACCAAGGGAGGGAAGGGAAGGGGGTACAGGAGATGCTGGCAGTTACTCGAATCCACCCTGAACCAGTCCTCGACGGCCGCGGGCTCCAGCCAGGCAGGGAGGACTCTGTTACCACTCTTTCTTCTTCTCGTCCATGGACACGCCCCCGGGGCCCAGGGCCACCACCAGGAGCAAGCCTCCAATCACCGACATGGTCTGGAAGAAGTCGTACTTGAGGAAGTCGTGCATGGGCTTATAGACGGGAATGGTCCAGAAGGCGTTGAAGTACACGTTGATGGCAAACAGCCAGACGACAAGAGTCAAGGCGGCCAGCTTGGTTTTAAAACCGATGGCCACCAAAATCATCAGAGCCGTGCCCACGATGTTCTGGAGGATCTGCATAGGTTGAAAGGTATGGAATGAGAATGAATGTGAAGAACAGATATATCCCATTTGACATGTAGGCAAGTTCCAGCTGCCCACATCCCTGCAGGCCCCGCGCCAGGGTGGAGTAACTCGGCGTGTGCCGAGAGCTTCACAAGCAGGGAAGGAAAAGAGGCGCTATCAAGGCGAGGGCAGCAGAGACTGCCCCGGAGGGAGCGAGGTCTGCAGTTCACAGGCAGGGTTATTCGCGGGCTCACTCACGGCTGACCCCAGGGGCCCTGTTAGCTGGACCACACTCCCCAGGGCTGCTCAGGACCAACTGCTCCCTGCCCCCAGCGCCAGGGCCCCAGCTCTATGAGCTCCTAGGAGCCAAGGATGAAGCCTTCGACTCTGCAGCCCCAACCCCTGGCGTGCAAACAGGACACACTGCAGGCGGGCGTGCCCGGAAGGAGAGAAGCAGGTGTGCGTGCTGTGATCCTGCTTCCCCCACTGGAGGGGCCCTGTGATGCGGTCAGGGCAGGACGGCCCCTTGGCAATGTGCAGCGTGCGGAGAGGAGGGGGCAGTGCCCTTCCAGAAGGCCTGCGATCAGCCAGGGAGACGTACCGAGAAGAAGCTGGCATCAAAGTGGAGCAGCGTCATGAACATCAGCACCAGCAGGACGCGGCCTCCGAGCTGCATGTACTGCCTGGGGGAGCTCTCGCGCACGGTGGGCACGCCTGCGAACATGCTCTTGCCCTCGGAGCGGGACTCAGCCAGCAGCAGCAGCAAGCCGCCTCCCAGTGCCAGGTTCCTGCGGGACACACCCCGCGGCGGTCACTCGGGGCCCCCAGGCCCCACCAGCGCTGGGCGGGCCGGGTCGGAGGGCCCAGCAGGAAGGGGACTCCACTGACCAGCGCCCCCCAGACCCTCAGCCCTCATGAGACATGGGGTTCTCACCTGTGTTCTCGGGGTTTGGGGATGGGGAGGAAAAGGCCTCACCAACGTCCACTACAGGGTCTAAGAAGCACAGTTTTGACCCAGAGAAACTCACTTCAACCAGTAGCTACTGACTTTAGAGACTTGAGGAGATACACTAGTCACCAACCAGGAGACACCTACCTCATCAAAAACTTCAAGTCCCACAAAATGCTGTAGGCGATCGTCTGGGGAACAGAGGAAAAAGAAACTGGAGTCTCAGCAGTTTCAGACAAACCTGTGTTTCCACAGAATTAACCGCATCAGGCAATTCTTCCAACATCGTGAGAAATCTAAACACAAGACAGACAAAACTCTTTCGGGACACCAACAGCCTCAAACTCAGCAAGGGGCTCAGCGTCCCTCGGGGTGGGTGGTGGCCCAGACCCGTCAACGAGCCCCTTCTTCCTCAGAGCTGGGCCCAGAGAGTTTTGGAGGACATGGCCGCTCCGAGACCCGATCCGGATGAAATGTGAGCTGAACATTTCATGAGTAGCTACGTGTTCTCTGTGAAGTAGAGAACCCTGTTCCTGCCTGGTCAGAAGGAACTCGGGAAGTGGCCAACGGTAGAAGCCCGGAGCTTGGCCCCAAGCAGTTCCAGGAAGACACATTCGGGCTGAAAGGGGAGTGGGGCTGAGTCCTCGCGGCCTCTGCCGCAGGGGCTCGGCTCTAAGCAGGGCGACAGGAGGGAGACCCGCTCACCTGCAGCGCGATGATGCCGAAGAGCCCGAAGCAGGCGTACTGCACCAAGTTCCTGCTCAGCACCAGGATGCAGCCGGCTGCAAGAAAGCTGAGGTCAGAGCTGCGGCCCCCCACCCCGGCCGCTGGCATTGTGGCCCCCCCACCCCGGCCGCTGGCACTGCGGCAGCCCAGCCACCCGCCCCGAGCAGAAAGCAGCCTCTGGCAGGGGGCGGTCTCTACCTATCAAAAGCCCTGGTCCAGAAAGCAGACTCCTGGCTAGAGCCGCGTGTGTTAGAGACAGCTCTGCTGGGAGCCGCAGTCCTGTCCTGTCCCTGACGGATGGGCGCCGGGAGCCGGGCCCAAAGCCCACGCGGCCGCACGGCGTCCGAGGCCCACCCTTCTCCGCTTGCCGCTGTTTTCCTCTCCAGACCCCAGGTTCAGGGTTCCTTGGCTCCTCACTGGCCGCCCCCAGCCCCTTGTACCTCCTGTTCTGGGAACTGAACCCAGGGCCGCAAAGCAACTCAGCCAGGACTAAACACAGAGCAGCCAGCCAGGGCCCAGCAGGGCTCGCTCCCAGGCCCGCCCGGCGCCCCAGTGCGGGGAGCGGGGCACAGGCCGCCGCCCGGGAGGCCCGCGGGGGCGCGGGCGCCACTCACTCAGCTGCCCAAGCAGGTTGAGGAAGACGAAGGAGGAGGCCAGCAAGTAGCCGCAGCCCCAGGTGGTGTCGATGTAGTCCCGCTGCTCGCTCCACTGGAACCACATGCGGATGCCGTCCTCCAGGAACGTGCTGATCAGGCAGAGGCGCGCCACGTGCGGCAGGTACTGCTTCGTGAC